CAGCATTTCTTGTTTGAGAGACTCTGGGAATGGAATAGATGTTACGTCAAAGGCTTTGGAAAGCAAATCGAACCATTCTTCTTCATTGAGGTCTGGTATTTTAGCAGAGTTTCCGCCCCATCTCGGTAGACAGAAATATTTAGCATGGTTCATCAGATAATTAAAACTTGAACTTGCTTCCCCAGTGAGAAATGGGTGGTCGAATCGACGTCGAATCGACGTCGATCGGTGGATGATTCGGAGAATCGAAATATTGGTCGAAAAATTAATTATTTCGACTGACGGTTTTGAACGTTTTTATCACTTCTTTGAAGCTTTAGTGACCCTCTGATGTATCTCAATGTCGTCTCTACCACTAAAACTGGTCTCCGTTAATTTGACAAGCGTTTCTTTACTAACCCTGATTCGACGTCGAATCGATGTCGATGCACACATCGATTCGACGTTGAATCGCCATTATTTGGAATTCCCGCGCATGGGGATCGTGGAACCAAGTTTGGAATGTGAATTACAATGTGAATGTGATGTCGCTACTTGCCAATGATGGTCGAAGGTGGACAAGCACCGGCGTTTTCACTTCAATAACAAGCCAACAAGAAATAAGCAAGAATGGACAAAAACCGAATTCCACCAGTAAGTAATTAAAATGTACAGCTTATTTTGCTCTCCTATTTCCTTGTTTTGACAGTTATTAGTTTCTAATAATAATTTAGACATATCATATCCCATGAGTGTCTCTAGGTTAAGAAACATGGAGTGATGTTTTGTAAAGCAGAAAATATTCCAAGTTGAATGGGAGGCACGATTTAACATAGGCCAGTTCTTATCTGGTGATTGATCTTTTTAATAATCATAATCGACACGACCTTTGAAACCCAGGTGGAAGTATTTTATTTTTCTTTCTAATTCCTACACAAACTAGTCAAGCAGGTATGCAGAAAATCGCAGGATCCAGCGACAAGTCCAGAGGGAACTTAGATGTCGCAGGGAAATAGATTGTCTTCGAGGTGGAGCTAGTCTTTCAAGGAACAATAGAGATTGTGGCAGTGCTTCATCATCGTCTGGTGATTGTTTTGCATTGATGTGATAATGAGAGTTAAACTGAAATACGGATACTGTTGTGAAAAATCATGGACTAATTTTTGCATTATGTTATAGTGTGTGACACTGCTGCTGCCTCTCCTAGTCCTGGTGCTGCATCAGAAGCGGACTCTGTATCAGATCCAGAACCTTCATTTTCTGACATCTCTACCGACAATGATGATGGAGGAGGAGACGGTGATGATGGAGACGATGATGATGGAGACGGTGATGATGGAGATGGTGATGATGGAGACGGTGATGATGGAGACGGTGGTGATAGTGACAGTGATGATGAAGATGATGATGACCATGACTCCCAACCATCAGACGATGAAAATCCTTTAGCACCTGAGGGCCATAATGACGAAGATGATTTGGGTGTTTTTGTGAAAAATACTCTAAGAAATTGGACATTGAGGAAGGGACCATCATCAATGCGGAAATTGGATGAGCTTCTTCTTGATCTCAGAGTGCGATTTCCAAATCTGCCCTCATCTTACAAAACTCTGCTTCATACTCCTCGAAATCTCCCTGTGACCAACATGGCTGGTGGAGGGCAAATGTGGTACAGGGGAATCAGAGTTGCATTAGATGCCTTTGAATTGGAACCATATGTCCTCAAATATGACAAAATAAGCCTAGATATTGGTATTGATGGTGTATCTCTTTCAAAAACGTCAAATTTAAAATTTTGGCCTATTTTGGGGAAACTTGTTGGCTCTGATAGCCCTCCTTTTGTAATAGCAATTTATCTTGGAAAAAAAGACCCTGAAGACGTATATGAATTTCTCATGGATTTTGCACTTGAAGTTGAGTCCCTTGAACGCCAGGGCGTTGAAGTCGGTGTGAATCGTTACCAATTTGGAATTAGAAATTACATTTTAGATGCTCCGGCCAGAGCTTTCATTAAATGCTGTGTACTTTTTAATTCTCGTTGCTCTTGTGAAAAATGCTGTGTTGTTGGAGAGTACGTCAACAATCGTATGACCTTTACTGATTTAAATTATGATCTCCGCACTGATGAGTCATATGAAAACCAGACTCAGCCCATGCACCATATCGGGCGTTCACC